GGGGGGGGGGGGGGGAGTGGGGCTTTCACACCACACAGTCTCGCTTAAGAGATAAATAAGCACGAAACAATGTGGCGACCAAGAAAAAATCATTGATATTTTTCACCAACATGTTGCTAAATGAACCAGAGTATCGAGTCCTACGAGCATGAGTGTAAAGAATGTCCACAAGAGGACGAAGATGTCCCATGAGTAACACATGAGCACAACCTGGAAACGAATAAAGGCAGCACGGCGCTGCCGCTATCGTAGAGGACATCTAAGGAGAACAACCCGAAAACAAACAAAGGCAGCACAAAGCTGGGATATTCTCATCCGATATCTAAGTGTCTACTTAAAAGATACTGCACCACGTGAACGGTATATTTACATCGACATCTAGGCGTCTACTACATCTAAGCGTCCGCTGCAACCCTCTAGCTGTGTGGCAAGGAATGAGAACAACCTGAAAACAAACAAAGTCAGCACGGTGCTGCCGAAAGTCCAACGAGTAAAATTGACAGGTTCCTCGTAATAAAGAACCCTTAAAAAAATGCTGCAGCACGAGGCTGGGATATTCACATCGACACCTAACCGTTTACTTGATCAAAACGTCCACTGCAATCCGATACCTCATCAAAACAACAGCACAGCTCGACCCTTCCGACTGCTAGACCAAGTGCGAACAGATTCGCACTTTTGCTTATGGCCTTTCGAATAAAAAACTTCGCGTATTTTAAAAACAGGGGTGTTATTCCGAGCCTTGGAGTATGTCCACCGCAATTCTCAGTCTGATGTTTGGAATGTCGCTTTGGACTATCGAAAATGGTGGCGGATGCCCGCGTGCAAGAAAAGAAGCGAAGACAAGCATGAAAACACCGCAGCTCGACCCGTCCGTCTGTTGAGGGACACCATGAGCAACCACCTTGGGCGTCGGGAGATCCAGTTTGACTTTTTGACCATATCGACAAACTGCTTCGTCACGGAGGTATTCCGTGAAGTTCGCAAGCGCATCGGAAGAAAAACCGCCATCGTCTTGTAGGAGGGAGTCGTAGTACTCCAATCGTTGTTCCCGGACACACAATAGGGTCCAATGCCCTCAATTTTTATGTACAGGAATCAAGACCATGTCGTCCGAGAAAATATTGACATCTTTTGTCCATCTCGCAACCCTTTCATGTTGATAGCCGCCACCGACGAGCTTGGTATATAAAAAGGGACTGAAAATGTAAAGAGAGGTTCACCCAGGCAACGCAGCGTTGCCAAGCAAGGCCAAGTACGACTCCACAACCTCGTTGGAAAACCATCCCCCTTGGACAAGAGTTTGAAGACTTTTTCTGGTCAACGGAATTGAACTGGCCCCTTTGCGAACCGAGGAAACCACCTCGTGGCCGTTGCTGAAATCTCCGCAGACGTCCTGTAACATTCTCAAGTCCGTAGCGCTAAGCTCCTCAGTAGGCAAGGAAACGGGAAAACATGATGTAGCCCCAACTGCACAAACACCCACAAACAAGTGTGAGGAGTTTTCAAAATCACCGGGGCGAAATGACTAAGAACTTTGTGCCCTTTTTCCAGAAAAGTTGTATCCCCGACTGTTGAATGTGTCCTTGGCGATGCACTTAGGATGCGGGTCTTTCAAGACACCCCGTTTGGCATCGTCATCAAACCCATCAGAGAAAGCAGTAACGCTTTCAATAGACGCAGCCAAATGTTTCCGCAAAGCTTCCTCCTTATCTATTCCATAAGCCTTCAGAACCCTGACAGCTCTCCGGGAAAGACGAGGCATCTGGACCCTTTTAAACAACCCTACACTTGACGACTTCTTCGGTAAAGCGGCCAATGACCTCCCTGAAAGACATTCCTCGCGCATGGCTTTTAGGCTTCATGGGCAGGGACATTGACAACCTCACACCTGTAAAACATAGAAAACAACCCACAACCCACAACCCACAAGCTTTTTTTTAACAAGTGGTAAAAGGTACATGAGCCAATCATATCAATTTGGACGAACACAGAGCTGGCTAGCGACAGATATGCGAGTGCTACTATTCACAAATCTTACCGTGCTCGGGAACCCTTTGAGGGAAATCGCCCTCCTGTCGCGCCACTGCGCCAACGTCCACAAGGATTCGACGTTCTGCACCTCGGCCACGACTGTGTCGCTAACCAGCTCGGTGGCAGTTGAGTCGTTACGCAACTCGATGGCTTCATGAAGCACCATTTCCCGGCCGGTACAGAGGACAGATGCTCGATCACCGTGTTCTTCACCGCAACAGGTGGACAGAGAATCATGATCTTTCCGCTCTGGACCCATCTTGATGCTGACGGCCACCTCATCGCCTTCCACGGAGGATTCGACGTTCTGCACCTCGGCCACGCCTGAGTCGCTAACCAGCTCGGTGGCAGCCGAGTCGTTACCCAACTCGATGGCTTCATTAAGTACCATTTCCCGACCGATACTGAGGACAGACGCTTGATCACCTTGTTCTTCACCACAACGGGTGGGCTAAGAATTATCATCTATCCGCTGTGGATCCATCTGGATGTCGACCATCACCTCACCGCCTTCCACCACGGGTTCTCTGCCTTTCTCATCGCCATAAACCCGAGCTTCCACCACGGGTTCTTCTTCGCCTTCCTCATCGCCAAGAAGGCGAGCTTCCACGAACGTCCACCGCCCTCCCTTAACGACACCCTCTTGCGTCATGGCCACAACGGAACGACTGTGCAGAACCTCTTCGGACGTCCCGATCACCAGCACTCCTGCGTCGAGCCCCTTCATGACTTTGCGAGCCGGCCAATGTTGATTCTCCTCTTCCCGCTGCAGAGCATGCGTTTCCCCCGGAGCTGCTGTACTCTTGCTGTCAGTGTCCACGGACGCACCCTCCGAAGCATGACGTTCATACTCGCTACCCCCGGTCTCCAACACTTTGCGAGACTGCCAGTGTTGAGTCTCCTCTTCCCGCTGTACTGCATGCACTCCCGGAGAGCGCTCCTCTTCCCCAGGAGCCGCTGTACTCTTGCTGTCAACGTCGACTGGTACACCCTCCGAAGCATGACGTTCGTACTTGCCACTCCCGGTCTCCAACACACCTGCAGCGGGCCTCTCCAGCACGTTGCGAGACCGCCACTCTCGAGTCTCAACATATGAGAACGGAGGTGAGCAGGGGAACCCTGTGCCCAACTGAAGATGCGGGGGGTAGGACGTCACATTTTCTTGGCCCCGCGGAACTGTAGCGTGAGGAGCACTTTTGGCGGAAGGCCTCCAGGGCGACGTCAGCAACTCCGAATCTATTCGGAGTTTGTGGCGCTCGCCCGAGTTGAGGGAACTGACGGTCGCACCTTTGCTCCTTCGCAATGCAGGCATCCCGCCCTCCAGGCAAAACGAAGACGCAGTTCCTATCAAGGAATGGTTTCGCCGCTCAGGATACCGTATGCTGTAGACGTTCGCCCGCTTCCAGGAGGAAGGTGTTGTTCACAAGAGACCTCTGCTCCGCACGGCGGGACGGACTCTCCTCGGCATCGGGAAACAAAATCCTCGTAGACAAGTGTGAATCTACTCGCACTTTATTGGACCTCAGGGTGACCACGTTTCGCATGTCGGAATCTCGACTCCCTACGCAGTGGCTGTCAGTTTCCCTATACTGGGGACTCCCGGACGTTCTACGCTTTCCGCCCGACCCCTTCCCGCCCAACCCCTTCCCGCCCGACCCCTTCCCGCCTGACCCCTTTCCAGCCGACCCCTTTCCGCCCGACCCCTTTCCGCCTGACCCCTTTCCGCCGGACGCCTTATCTCCCGACGATGTTTCGCCCAACCCCTTTCCGGCAAATTGTGAGTCGTCTCCTCCGTCACCTCCGCCGTCTCCTTCGTCTCCTCCTCCACCCGTTCCCGGATGCTGACCGCCCGATGGCGGTTGCGGCATGCGTCTGTCAATGCCACGAGACGGTGCCGTTTCGAGTGTGTAGAAAGACGCTCGAAACTCCAACATGTTGTCATCGTACAACTCGCGGAGTTTCTGGCCTTCATACACAGTGACATCCGAGAAGCTCCTTTCTGGGTTCATAAGACTCAAATGCTCCACCAAAGCATCTCTCGCCTTTTTCTTAAATGGACCCACTCCCAGTCGGTTCATGCCACTCCACTTGCCATTGGCTTCCTTCATTGCCATGACCCACTTGCCATTCTTTACAGCAGGTTGGAATATCCTCGGGCGCCAGACGACGTTGTGTCCCCAGACATCCTCCGGAGTGAACCGGTGATGCTTGTCGAAGAAGAAGAGTCTGTCATTCTCCCATGTATCATGGTCCCCAGGGAGCTTGTCACAAGGTTCGTGATCATAGTCTCTCTCTTCCTTCCCGTCATCAGACGATTGGTCGTGGACTCTTTCGCGCCCAAACACACGCTTTAAACCGGCAGGGGACGTGCTATATCTCCGAGGACCACCTTCCCCTTCATCACCAACCTGTCCAACCACTCGAGGGAGTCGCATGGACTCGAAATCGAAGGTTTCAGAGTGGCTCAGCTCCTCCATGTCTTCAGCGTCGAAAGGGTCCTCCTCGTCAAGCTGCGCCTTGTAATTTTCGAGGGTGAGCGGTTCGGCCATCAAGAAGAAAACGTGCTCCAACTTTCATCATGGTACCCATTCAGCACACCGAACACCAGGTTTCTCCGTCGATTGTATTCGAGGTCGGTCTGAGTAGGCGGTCCGGGTTGGAAAAGGAAGTCCCAAACCTCCGTCCTTTTCTTCCCCGACAATTTCCAATACATGTCACGCTTGGGATCCCAGTTCCGTTCGCCGGCGGTCTGGACAAAAGAGCAATTATTGCGAGGGTCTGCCATGCGTGTCTTCACAAACTCGTTAAGGTAATCGATCATGTTCGCCTCGTCCTTCAACGCGACGACGTTCCGACCGTCGCGCAGGAGCTCCCACACGACAGATGCATGCGCCTTCCCAAAGAAAAAAACAGTTTGCCCAACTCTGCAAAAGTTTTCGAGTAGACCAAGTAGATGGGACGGGTTCCGCTCCCTGTCCCCGTAAGCAGGTCCACGAACACTTGTCACGCCGCCGTCCTCCGACTGGCTACGAGGGAACCTGTCCTCGTCCGCCACGTCGAAGCACGCCACAGCCTGTCCTGATGGGTCCGACGAACAGATAATTTTCGAGCGGGCCGCCATTGTGTGTTTGGCCGGACTTGGACCATGAGCACGGGGAGCCTTTGTCGGGCTATTGGCCGGGAAGACTGCGACTGTGTTGTCTGCCAGGTTCTCGCCATTGAAAATCACGTACAGACGATCACACTCCTCAACCAGCATATTGCCTTCCCGGACAGTGACCTGCCTTTGTGCATGGCGCACCCACTTCCCTGTCCTGACGTGATGAACGCTAAGCCTGGCCATGCCTTTCAAGAAACTGAGCTCCGAACGAGAGGGGAAGAAGACCACAAGTGCCCAGTGCGTTGGCGACAGTGTTTGGATAACGCCTTGCAAGGAGGCGAAATCGTCTTCTCGCCAGTCTTAGAGGAGTGTGGGATCACACAAATCGAGAACGTATAGGTTGCACACGTAATGTCGCACAATCTCGAGGATCTCAGTGAGACAACTGTGGGCTTAGGAAGGCGGGCAACTGAAAGGAATAAGGCTGGTCACCCGATTGAGCTTGTCCCATTTGATGTGCCTCACATCCCCGCTGACCCTGATCGTGTCTCAAACTTCTTCTTCCGTCCGTCATAAGATGGAACGGACGACTTTTCGAAAGATTTAGAGAACTTGTCATCCTCGTACATTCTCTTTGTGTCGTTGAGGGACTCCTTGTCGTGCGGAAGAGTATGTTTGCAAGTGTTCACGTACTCCACTGCGCCCTGGAAATGCTTTCGCAGTTCGACCCACACCTGTTTCGTGAGGCCCTGCGGCCCGAACTCCGCCAGAAGCTTCAAGAAAAAGGGCTCCTGTAGCGCCAAACCTCTGCATCCTCCTCCGTTTCAAGAAACAAGATGTAGTGGAACATGCGGACCATCATGCGGTCCACTTTCCTCGTCGCGACCATGTCTTTAATTCCAGGCTTGACGTTTCAGATGCCGGCCCGCCAATTGCACGAACACTCCCCTAAGTGCGAGAATGTCGTCGAGGATCGACAGTTTTTCGGCATCGGTCATGTCGACGAGACACTGCCAACGGAACATGTCTGGCTCTCTCACGACGACGAAGAACTTGTCGTCCGCTTGCATTTTTTTTTTGGTCGGAGGCGGCGGGACCTGGACCAGCCACCCCAACTTCGTTTCACCAGTCGCCCCTTTCGAGCCCATCTCCGGAATTGCTTGAAGACCCGGAGATTTGTCTGGCATGTATTTGCCCGACTTCGACAAGGGTGTCTTCCCGTCGCCGCCCAACAACTTCCCCTCGGCCCATTTTTCGTAGAACTCCATGCCTTTGCGGAAAACGTCATCACCGGCCGTCACGAGCGGCATCCACTGCCTCAATGCATTGCCAATGGCAGCGATGTGCTCCTTGCCAGCGAGCGTTGTCGGTTTGCTTGCCATCGTCCAGTGTGCCCCGTTCGGACTCTTTCCCAAAAGCATCTTTTGGAACTCGAAAAACGCTTGTTTTTCGGCCTCCTTGCCGGAAGGGTTCCCTTGAATGGCCACCGGCCTTCCTTGATTCTCCTATGCCTCCCGCATGTCCTCGAAAGCGGCCTTCTGTGCACGCTGCTTAGACATCTTGTGTCTTGTGTTCTTCGTGAGACTGACCTGCAAATACCCCCCGAAGTCTTCGTCGGCGAACCAGACGACTCTCACCGGCCACAAGTGCATCTTCCACAATTCGAATATTGGCTCACCGTCCAACTCCTTCACAGCAGCCATGGTGTGTTGTCCGTTGACAGAGTAATAAAAGTACTTGTCCTTGTCCTCTGGCTTGAAGACATCTTTGTGAACCCTCTCAGCTTTCTCCGGCCTATGCGTCACCGACTTGTAGATGGGTGTCAGAACCAAAGGGTTTTTCGACCAGATCTTCCCTTTTTCCTCATGGAACTGCCTTAGCATTGCTTCCTTGATGTCCTCCAATACAGAGTTCGTGCCTTATTTTCGGTGTCATCATGCTTTCTTCCTCTCTCTTCTCATCTTCACTCTTCTTCTCTTCCTCCTCCTTCTCTCCAATCCTTATTAACCCCATTTCTTATTTTGTCTAAGATATGCAATGTTTTCCATATGCTTAAGGTATGGTGTGTCGCTCTGTGTTTCCGTTGGTTTTTGACTTCGCACTTCGCGCCTGTGCAATGCGCCTGGCTGCATCGTGTCATCGGCCAATACCCGACGGGTTGCACTTTCCACTTCTGTGGAAGCGAGTTAACCACCTTGTTGTTCTTGGATTGGTGGATTCGCATGCTCGGCTTACGGAAGTTCGCCAAGGTTCATCGTCACGACCGCAGTTGTCAGGAAGGAGTTGATTCACATGCTCGACCAACGGATTGGCGGATTTGCATGCTCGGCTAACGGATCGTTGGATTCGCATGCTCGGCCAACCGACGTCTTTTCAAGATCCATCGCCTCGACCACAACTGTTAAGGAGGATCGTCAAGCCTTCTTGTCCATCCGCGGCGTCATCTTAGCTTTCGATAACCGATCTTGATCGTATTACTGTTAGATAGGTGGAAAGAGTGTAGAAGAGATGGGTGATAACTTTGTCCTGTACGGCCCATGCTATCATTGCGGGCAGCACGGGCACTTTTAGCGTAACTGTCCGGCTAGAAGTGATGGTTTGATATCGGGTAGACTTATTGGGGCCCCGACATTCAACTACGGGCAGGCCAACAACTATCATTGTCCTGCACCGTCGGCGCCACCTCTACCCTTGTTACCTCCTCCTCCACCTCCTCCTCTTCCTCCTCCTCCTCCCCCTCCTCCTTCTCGCCCTGCGCCAGACTCCTCCTCCACCAGCACTATCCCGACTATACATCAATCGCAGGCTACCGTCCCGACCTCAACTTCAATGACCATTGTCCCGTACTATCCACGTCAGTACGATAATCAACAGTCCGGTGCGCCGCATTGTGGTTGTGAGCTTATGAACTTGGTGAGGGAAACTACGTATGATAGAAGGGGAAAAAGGAGAGAAGAAGAGTAGACGAGGAGAATCGATTGAAAGAGGAACATGCGAAAAAAGCTAAGGAGGAAGAGGAGAGGAAGAAAAAGGATGAGGAGAGGAAGGAGGCGCTCAAGGAGGCCAGACTAGCTCAGCTTATCAACGATAAGTTTAATGATTTAGACAAGAAATATGGTGAAGAGAACAATAAGATATGGGACAAGATGGACAAGCGAGATGTCGAGAAACCTCACGAGAAGCCTCGAGGTGAGAAAAAAGGTACTGCTTTGCGAATCAATGAAGGTGGCAACAATCGGAAGAGGGCTCAAGAGGAGGTCGAGGAAAACTCCCCTCAGCCACCGGAATCAGGTCGACAGAAGCCCAATGGGAGACCGGAGATCAGTCCACTTGACCCCAGGCTATTGCTCATGAACCAGAATTTACTGCAACGTGCGTTGGAAGCCCAAAACAAGGTTATCCTCACGGTTGTTGAAGAAATCAAGGCGCTAAGAGCAACCACGCCAATGCCTGTTGCTGGGGCCGCCGCTTGGCCATCGACTTCCCCACCTCCACAGCATTACTACCCACCCAATCCAGTGCACAATCCCTCCCCAAACGCTGCCCAGAGGAACAACGTCCACCCACCTCCACCCCCTGCCCACCCTCACCCCCACAAGTCTTCTGCTTCCCCTCCTCGGGACCCTTGACAAGCGTATCAGCCCACCCCCCCTCCTAGACCTCGGTCCCCTCCTCGTGCTCCCTCCCCAAAGCCTTCTCCACCGCCATCCCCGCCACGTACCAACCCCCCACCCCCCGTGAGAAGACCCCCTGCCACCGATATCCCAGCGCGGAACCAAACTCCTGGTCCTAGCAGATCGTTCACACGTAGTGCAGCACAGAGGGGCGCAAACGAAGCAGATCCTTCCACTTCTGCTGGCGGGACGCCAAGCAGCAGGCCTTTCGCCAGGCTCATGGACGTATTTACTTCAGTTGTCGGCGATGCAGTTAGAAGAGTCTCAGGTTCGTTCTCTGTCATTGGGACATCCGCTGGCCTGGGCTTTGATAGGGTTCGGGAAGGGACTAAGGCTGCAGTTGCTGGACCCGGAAGGGCGCAAACGTTATGTGGAAGAGATGTCGAAGGTACTTCTGGGGAAGTACAAATATGAGCTGACAAAGATGTGTGACGATGAGGGTAGTAAATACCACAACAAGAAGCAAGTGTTAGCTGACATGGCTGAGTTGAAGGCTCGAGTAACGTATGGTGACGAAGGTAGCAGCGAGCCTGCCAATGGACCGGAAAATGAATCAGCGGAGGAGACCCAAAAAGAGAATCCTTCTTCAGGTTTACAAGGATCCTGCATGGCTATGGGCACAGGCTGATAAACTGCGATCCTGTCGCGGAGGAATGACATGAAGAAGAGTGAGAGATGTTCGTTGGAGAATGCTTTTCGGTTATGCGTATTGTTATTGGTGGCTGTAGGACAAATAAGATGGGGAGACAAATTCCTCGACCAATGGTTCGAGTCTGCAAAAACCGGTCTAAATATCTGTGATGGTTCGAGTAGGGGGGGT